TCACTTTCCTCTCATGTCGGTTGATGAGGTAAGGATTCACTTTCCTCTCATGTCGGTTGATGAGGTAAGGATTCACTTTCCTCTCATGTCGGTTGATGAGGTAAGGATTCACTTTCCTCTCATGTCGGTTGATGAGGTATGGATTCTATTGATATGGGAAAACACCAATAATACCAAAAGTAAAAAGTTAACAATTAAAAAAAATAATCTTCGTGTAAAACTTTAGGAGTCAACATCTCAGAGTTCTGTAGGGAATACGGAAAGGAGGGGGTGGGTGGGGGGTGAGATTCTCCTGGTTCTTGAGAGTACAAAGGGAAACAATTCCTGTTTATAAGTTGGTCCAATTTTCTCAGTTCCGATTTAAAGAAGCAATAATTTTACTCAATTTTGTAAATATTTTGTTGATGCCTCAATTTCATAAACTATTTTTTGGTTACACGGTATTGGTGGGGCTTATTCATTAAACAAGCATTAACCTTAAATTGAAGTTTGTATAAAAAAAATTCTTAATTTGTTAAAACTTTTAAAATATGAAAAAGGAAATTTTTTCTCATAAGAAATATTCTTCGTTAAGAAACATAAAAATAAACCGGTTTATTCATAACAATTAAGGATTTCCATCTGATATCATATAAAAATTTAAAAATATTGTAAAATTTAATTAAAATAAATCATTAAAGTTAAAAATTCATAAAGATTAAACGATTTAAAATTTGATAAGGAAAATTTTTATTTTAAATAATGCACTACTTACAAGACACTTAATGTTATATAAACGTTCATGAATCAGTTCATTCAATATTTGGACAAATTGAATTAGAACTGTGAAATAGTAACACACCATTTTATGGGGTCTTCTATCAAACTCTAATTATAAGTATCGCTGGGCACCTTCAAACTTCACTCCGTTAAAATAAATTAACGTGTATAACCTTTTGTGAATTTTTAGTTCAATAAACGGGTTTTCCGTTCGTTTATAATCTCAATTTTAACTTCCTTCGCCGTTATCCGTTAGTCAGTTCGTTAACGCAAGATTTACTTTGTTTATTGCATTAAAATAAAAATATATAAGAAACTTGAATTTCGCGTCATCAGCTCGGTTTTTTAATTATTTAAATGGTTCATTAGTTCGTGAACAATTTGAAAATTAACAGGTGTTCCCGGTAAGTCTGGAAAACTGCCCCTGCTCATTGTAATCATAAATGAAAATACAAGTTTGTTTTCTTGACAACACAATTTAACTAGATTAGGTCATTAGGTCAGATAATATAGGTTAGAGACAGCTTTCTAACACTTTCCTTTTCCTTGATCGCATTGTTTAAATTTTGCATTCTTCGCGTTTTTAACAATGCAGACTGCAAGATCAACAATAAACAAATAAACAAGCAATCTAATCAAAATATACGATAAGAAGCAAGCAGTTTATGATAATGATGATGATGATGATAATGATGATGGTTATGATGGTGATGATGATGATGATGATGATGATGATGATGATGATGATGATGATGATGATGATGGTAATGATGATGATGATGATGATGATGATGATGATGATGATGATGATGATGAAGATGATGGTAATGATGATGATGATTATGATGATGATGATGATGATGATATTGATGATGATGATGATGATGATCAGAGCCCTAATTGTAATTATAAATAAAAATTCAAGTTTTTTTCTTAAAACTTGTGACCACACAACTTAACTAGATTAACTAGGTCATTAGGTCAGATAATATAGGTTAGAGACAGCTTTCTAACACTTTCTCTTTCCTTAATCGCATTATTTTTGCATTCTTTGAATGTTTATCAATGCAAACTGCAAGATCAACAAATTAACAATCTTCCTCTTCTGTCTATATATAGACTTTGCTTGTCTGGGTGTCTGTTTGTATATAATAAAAGTCAAAACGGCTGAACCGATCGGGCCCAAATTTTGTGTGGGACTTCGAGTGACCCCAGGGAATGTTTATGAATGATCAAAAATTCAATAATTTTTGCTCAGAATTTTTTTTATTTTTGTAAAATTTTGAAAATGCGCGTAAAAATATTATAAAATCCGCAAACTTTTTTGATATCGTACATAGAGAAGATGCTCACAGATAAAGCCACAATTAAAAGTTGAAATAGAATATGAGCGCGAAGCGCCCTAAAATTCTAGTAAACAAATAAACAAGCAATTTGATCAAAATATGATGGGCGGATTGTTGGTAACTAACATTTTGGTAACTAGCATTTTGGTAACTAACAATTTGGTAACTAACAATTTGGTAACTTGACAATTTGGTAACCAACAATTTGGTAACCAACAATTTGGTAACCAACAATTTGGTAACAAACAATTTTGTAACCTGACAATTTGGTAACTTGACAATTTGTTAACTAACAATGTGTATAATTGAAACTAATGTTTCACAATCATTGTTTGCATATTTATTTGTTAAATACATAGAGAGAAAAAAACAATATGCAGGATTTTTTAAAAGTTTAGTATGACAAATCCGCTAAAACTGTTTGTAAACTTCACAATCTCTCATCTCAAAATGGCAGGGTACGAGTTTCTCCGAACATCGAGGGGAGGTGTATTGCTGTAGGAACAAAACCCAGCTTGAGCGAATGAGACAGCTCCATAACATTTGCTCCAAATGGGATGAATCAACTGTATAGGAGTACACCTGGATGCAGTTAATGCACTAATTTAAGTTTCCTCATAAGCCTGTAGTTTAAATGTAATCATAAGTAAAAGAAGTAAATGATATATGAAAGTTTAATAACCCAGAGCTGAAAACTTTAGAATGGTGGATATCAGGATTAAGGCTTAAACCACTCTTTTTCTTAATATCCAGTTTAAATATTGCTTGTTCTCCACATGAATTTAAACTCCAGAGAAGCTAATCCATCGGATATCTGGATATTTCATTCTAAAGTTTTCAGCTCTGGTGATTCATTAATCTTTAAACAGTCCTGCTTATTTCATTTTAAAATTTTACTGTAAACCAAATTGTCAGGTTACCAAATTGTCAAGTTACCAAATTGTTACCGGTTACCAAATTGTCAAGTTACCAAATTATTAGTTACCAAATTATTAGTTACCAAATTGTCAAGTTACCATATTGTTGGTTACCAAATTGTCAAGTTACCAAATTGTTAGTTACCAAATTGTCAAGTTACCAAATTATTAGTTACCAAATTGTTAGTTACCAAACTGTTGGTTACCAAATTATTAGTTACCAATAATCCGCCCATCCAAATATACGTTAAGAATCAAGCAGTTGATGATGATGGTGATGTAGATGATGATGATAATGATGATGATAACTATGATGATGATGATGATGATAATTATAATGATGATGATGATGATGATGATGATGATGATGATGATGATGATGATGATGATGATGATGATGATGATGATGATGATGATGATGATGATGATGATGATGATGTTTAGGTTGAGCAGAGTTTTCGATCCCATCTGGTGAAGAAGAATAAGAACCTGAGTACTGCGCTAGAAGAAGCGAGAACGTATTTAGCGAAAGTAAAAATTTAATTAATTTTCTAAAAAATAATTCATCAATTTCTGAATTTATTAATTTTTATAAATGCTACATTGCATTGCAATGAAAAAATTCAAAGACCAATAACTAATAAATGTGGATAATAATAAGAAACATTCATATCTCAATAAAACTAATCTAAAAAGCTAAAACAAAACAAATCTAAAACTAAACTAAAAGTTAATGAAAAGGCAAACATTTCCAAGAAAAAAAAAGGCTAAAAAGAAAAATCTAAAAGGTTTATTCCACAATTTTTTTCTAATGTTTTTATTTTTTCAAATTTTATTCAACGTTCAATACTAAGCGAAATAATTGAAATGAATTATTTCCTATTTAATAGAAACGCCGCAAAGGCTTTTAATGGCGAATTATGTCGTCTTTGGTCAACGTCGTCGTTTTCCAGTGAAATTATTAAAAAACAAAGACGACTGTTAAGTTGTCTGCCTGTACAAAAGGCTTGCAGTGTAACAAATTTACGAACCGAAGACGACTTTTATTCTGCTTCACAGAGGAAATCACTGAAAATAGATCCTGAGAATGCGGTTGGAAACCGAGAACAGTGAAACAGTTGTTGATGCTTTACTGAAATTTAAAAATATTACTGAACTTGGTAATTTTATAACTGAATAAATCTCTAATTACAAGGAACAGTTTAAAATTAAAAGAACGAAGGAAGCCGACATTCATTCCTCTGTTTTTTGATGAAACAATATAGTGTATATATTTTCAAACTTAATTTTAGAACACTCATCAGAAGCTGGACTACTGGAGTTGTAAGCCTAAGCCCCCTCGCTGGCCTAAAATATTTGTGATCATGAGAATGTACTGGAAAAATCTACCAATGGAGTATTACGATTTTAAACTCAAAAGGTTTGTAGAATTTGTTGGAAATGAAATGATAAAATGTTGGAAAATTTATTTCAAAAGAGTAGAATTCAGAGACGACTGGACGGATTTCGTCATTTTTTTTACATTAATCTTTGCAACTATGCTTCCATTTTTCTTTAATGAGAAAACAAAAAATATCATATGTAGTTTAACAGAAACCTGTACCCTATCGTGTGTCTTCTGTCTTTTAACAGCATAGGATTAACTTTCCTAAAATTTAAAATTATCAACATTTTGACAAATTATTTTCAACTTATATTTATTTTTTCAGTTGGAAACAATTAACGCCAGTGCAGAACTGGAGAAGCTGTACAGCATTAGTGGGACACAAGGTAGGTGTACAGCAGATAGTATACACATGTACAACATTAGTGGGACACAAGGTAGGTGTACAGCAGTTAGTATACACATGTACAGCACTAGTGGGACACAAGGTAGGTGTACAGCAGATAGTATAATCAATGTACAGAATTAGTGGGACACAAGGTAGGTGTACAGCAGATAGTATACACATGCACAGCATTATGGGGCATAAGGTAGATGTACAGCAGATAGTATACACATGCACAGCATTATGGGGCATAAGGTAGGTGTACAGCAGATAGTATACACATGCACAGCATTATGGGGCATAAGGTAGATGTACAGCAGATAGTATACATATGTACAGCACTAGTGGGACACAAAGTAGGTGTACAGCAGATAGTATACACATGTACAGCACTAGTTGAACACAAGGTAGGTGTGCAGCAGATAGTAAACATGTACAGCATTAGTAGGACACAAGGTAAGGTGTACAACAGATAGTAAACATGTACAGCATTATTGGGACACAAGGTAGGTGTACAGTAGATATAATACACATGTACAGCACTAGTAGGACACAAGGTAGGTGTACAGCAGATAGTATAAACATGTACAGCATTAGTGGGACACAAGGGAGGTGTAGAGCAGATAGTATACATATGTACAGTATTATTGGGACAAAGGTAGGTGTACAGCAGATAGTATACACATGTACAGCACTAGTGGGACACAAAGTAGGTGTACAGCAGATAGTATACACGTACAGCATTAGTGGGACACAAGGTAGGTGTACAGTAGATAGTATACACATGTACAGCACTAGTGGGACACAAAGTAGGTGTACAGCAGATAGTATACACATGTACAGCATTAGCGGGACACAATATAGGTGTGCAGCAGATAGTAAACATGTACAGCATTATTGGGACAAAGGTTTTTCTATATTGAATTAGGAGAAAAAAAAATAAAAGTCGTCTTTATTTGCACGAATCTAAACCAAAAACTAAATTTTAAATTTATTATACGGTGGTAGGCAATTATATCAATATAATGAAGAAGACTTTTTAAAAAAGTTTTTATTGTTAAAAACCTTTTATTGATTTGAAGTTTACAGGTAATTAAAGAGAAGCTTTTTTAATTGACAGTTTTCATGTTTTGTGTATCCGTTCGGTTTAAAAGTTTGATATAAATCAAAATTGAAATCGAAAGTCGTTTTCATCATATTGCTATAATTGACTACCACCGTACGTAGAATAACAAAATTTGTCAAAATTCATCGTCATTTTAAAATGAATGGAGGGAACCCCTTTGGAAAGTTAAATGGGAAAACGAGATAATTTTAGAAATTGTTTTTGATTAAAACGCGATGAAATAAACGGAAGTCAATTTTTTTGCTAAAAATCTCGGGATCAAGAAAATGTAACTTCAGTTTATGCAGACATAAAGATTATATACTGTAGTGGTCATACCTTGAAGGGTAAACTTTAATCCTTAGGTTAAAAGTACCCACATTTGATATCGAGATCAAGGGATCAAGAGGGTTTGTACCTCAACGCCATATATTTTTACATTCATTGGAAACAAACAAAGAAACATTTAAATCGTCATCGATACTTGATACATGTTAAAGATATATCTTATAAATAATAAATAACTTTCTGAAACTCTTTTTTATTTTCAGCATAGTATTTATCTACTGGGGGGAGAAGAAGTTGATACAGAATCCCCAACAGGGTCAAGAACCGTTAACAGGGTTACCAGGTAAACAGGGTTACCGGGTAAACAGGGTTACCAGGTAAACAGGGTTACCAGGTAAACAGGGTTACCAGTTAAACAGGGTTACCAGGTAAACAGGGTTACCAGGTAAACAGGGTTACCAGGTAAACAGGGTTACCAGGTAAACAGGGTTACCAGGTAAACAGGCTACCAGGTAAACAGGGTTACTTGGTAAACAGGGTTACCAGGTAAACAGGGTTACCAGGTAAACAGGGTTACTTGGTAAACAGGGTTAGTTGGTAAACAGAGTTACAGGGTAAGGAGGGTTACCGAGTAAACAAAGTTACCAGGTAAACAGGCTACCAGGTAAACAGGGTTACTGGGTAAACAGGGTTACCAGGTAAACAGGGTTACTTGGTAAACAGGGTTACTGGGTAAACAGGGTTACTTGGTAAACAGGGTTATCGGGTAAACAGGGTTACCAGGTAAACAGGGTTACTGGGTAAACAGGGTTACCGGGTAAACCGGGTTACCGGGTAAACAGGATTAACGGGTAAATAGGGTTACCGGGTAAACAGGGTTACCAGGTAATCAGGGCTGTCAGGCAAACAGGGTAACCTGGCAAACAGGATTACTAGGTAATCAGGGTTACAGGTTACCAGCCTAAAACAAGGTTTTGATTGTCCCTCTATATAGGTATGATTGTGAGACTGGTAAATGGTCTGGTGGTCCAAGTATGCTTCTGGCAAGGAGATGGTCTGGTGCTCTGGTTGTAGGTAAACTTTATGCGTCATTTTTCAGATTAAACAAATATTAACTTTTAATTTATTAAAATTTTTGTTAAGAAACAGTGAAACAAGGAAAAATCGTAATGGAAGTTTCTGTAAATAAACATGGTGTCCCATATCATATCAGATCGTTAATCGGCCAAAATTACGATTTTTGGGACTAATCAGATAATTTAAGAAGATTGAATCATTTTGAAAACTTGAATAAAGCTAATTTAAGAATTTTCTTGCGGAAAAGGCTAGGTTTTTCGAGTATTATGGTTTTTTTGGCGTTAAAACTCGGAGTTAATCTAATATGATATGGGATGTAAATAATTTTTATTTTATTTTTTATTGTTATAACTAGCTGAAGTGCCTCGCGCTGCCCGTGAATTAAAAACAAATTTTGACAAAAAAAAACAGCTGATTCGGTTTAGCCGGTTGACCAGCTATAGCTAACGACTCCAAGGGTTTATCATTGAATCCTTCAGGGGTTTTAATTTCCATTGATTTTTATTTGTCTGAGAGTAAATGACATTCTTTTGTAAATATTAAATCGATTAAAAGGGGCGGGATTAAATGAAAATTGTTGCATATAGGACTGAATACTTTAGACAATGTAATCTACACTCTAAAAAATGCAATTTTGGTCTTTAGCATCAGGCATCAAAGTTCTTCTTTCATATTTCAAATGTCTTCTTTCATTACTCAAATTTTGTTAAATATTTTCCAAAATTACAATCTAACAAAACTTGTTAATAGCTTACACATTGTTCTCTCAGCATGTGTCAAACTTTGTTATATGACATCTTTCTTTTGTCATGTGACAGTTTTCTTTCATTGTAATTAGCCGATATTTTAGTTTGTGTAAGATTAAACAAATTTTGATTTATGATCAATCAAACGTTGAACCATCTGCCGGGCTGGCACGGCTTGCACGGCTGGCTGGAGGGGGAGAATCAGCTGACTTTCTAATTAGTGACAGTTTAGTCTGTTAGCCGACAGCGCTTATACCTACGTCAATTCGATCTGGAAATTTGGAGATATCAAAAAGATTTAAAGGGAAACCTCCAAGAAACTGGAAGAACAAAATTAAAACTTGTTTAAGCCTTTGTACACTCTCTCAAACTAATGCTTGCATTTTCAATGCTTTGCTTGAAAGAGAGTATCAATGCAAAACCAAATCTTCCATAATTCAGACTGAAGAATCTACTTCTACAAGAATCAAATGTTGTCTAAATTGGTGATCAATTGATGCCCAGTTCTTTAAGCTTTGAATTAAGTAATAAAGTGTATTATAAACAGCAAAACTTATGCTGCATGTTACTTTAAAGATTTGTATTAAGATCTTATATTTCTGCCTCATGTATTTTTATTATAAAAAAATGTGATAAACTTTAAACTTATGATGTTTAAATTTTTGTTTTTATCAATTGCATTTTTGCAAATTTATGCGTTTTAAAAACTAATAAATTGTATAAAAAATTGAAATTTTACATAACAGCCGGATATTTATGTAACAAACTTTGAATCTAGTTAAAACAAATATTGAGTGAATAGGTGGCGCCACCTGTAACAACCTCTTTTGACGGGTCAAGATTCAAAGCTGAATAATCATATAACAAATGATTACATAGTTGCGCAGTAAGTTGAAGGGACATCCAACAAATTTTGATGCATGCTAATTTTTAAACCGCGCAGTGTTGCTGGTTGAATCGACATGAAACAAAATTTGTGAGATGATAATTATATGGAGGCGCGGCACAGCGAGCGGACAAACACCGGTTTATAGATCATGTAACAAACTTTGAATTAAGGCGACTGAAAATACATTCAACAAAATTTGACGAATGATTCTACTAAGGTGTATTTGAGTCCGGTGCTCTAACAAATTTTGTTAGATGAAAATTTGGAATTTCTTAGAGTGTACTGCATCGGTGGGATCGGAGGGAAAGGAGGAACCTATGAGAGGAGACTTGATACTGTATATTTTAGACAATGTAATCTACTGCATCGGTGGGATCGGAGGGAAAGGAGGAACCTATGAGAGGAGACTTGATACTGTAGAATGCCTGGAACTAGATGAAGAGGGGGTCAGGAGATGGAAACCTCTGGCTAACATGTCCACTCCGAGATCCTCCCACACCTGCGAGGTTATGGATGGTCTGATCTACGTAGTGGGAGGAGGAGATGGCAAGGATTGGTTATCATCTGCGGAGGTAAAGCATATATATAAATAAATATTGGCTTTTTTCTTGGTTTTTATCCAATAAACGTCAATATGGTTGAACTGGCCGTTTCCACTTTTTCTTTATTTATTACATAGTCCCAGGTAAAATAGACAGAAGGATAAGATTAAACATTACCGGTGCAACTTTGCCACCTCTCTAGCTCCTCTACTTTTGATTTAACTCACAAGTATTAATCGGTAACACTTGTGTTCTTCACAATAGCTGATCATCATAAGAGGAGTTATTAATATGAATTTGAAGACATTTCAATCTTACGTTTAATACACTTTAGTTAAACTTGGCAATGAAGAATTTTATTCTATTTTTGGAGCAAATCAACATTTTTATTTAAAAACAACAATATCTTCATAGAATAAAAAGAACTTACTATGATTCATGGTGATTTTTGATTTATTTAAGAATTCATTAATTGTATAAAAATTAAATGTTAGTTTTCATAATAAATCATCTAATAGTTTTTTCAGTATTTCTATTATTAAAAGAGATTTGTTGAAAAAAAAACTCGGTAATTATACATCATTAAAGGGAGTGACCGGCAATGTATGGTACCGTCATTGAACTGAGAATGTAGTATTGTGAAGAAATATTTTACGATTCATTTGAGACATAAAACGTTTTAATGATGCATAATTACTGAGTTTGAACGCAAAGTCGACTTTCAAAATCATCCATTGGGGTGGTTACGTTTTGAGAATCGATTTTTTAAAAATTATTAAGTAACGACGACAAAAAATGTAACAAAATTCTACAGTAAACTAATTAGTCGTTTAGGAACAGTTTGAGAAAATAAGAATTAACTCTTATAATCGAAAATAAGTAATCTTGTTCAGTTATTAGTTTCTGAAATCTTTAATTGTTCACAAACATTTTCTGGAGCTTATATTGAAAAGATGACATTTGAAGAATTTGTAGAAACCAGCGAAAAAATTCCTAAAAAATAATAAATTCAGTTTAATAATGAAAAATAAATAATTGATTCTAACATTGATTATTGACAAACTTTTATTGAGAAATATATGTTCTTAAACATCTAATTAGTTTACTGTTGAATTTTTTATACATTTTTTGTCGTCGTTACTTAATAATTTTAAAAATAACGATTCCTAAAACGTAAATACCCAAACAGATGATTTTGAACGTTGACTTTGAGCTCAAACTCAGTAATTATACATCATTAAAACGTTTTATATGTCTCAAACGAATCCTAAAAAAATTCTCCACAATACTACATTCTCATTTCAACTTCCATACATTGCCGGTCACTCCCTTTAAAACGTTTTATATGTCTCAAATGAATCCTAAAAAATTCTCCACAATACTACATTCTCAGTTCAACTACCATACATTGCCGGTAACTCCCTTTAATACATAGTTTAACCAAATTCCAGAATTATTTTGTTTGTCAATATTGATATTATATAAATAATATAGAAGATAATATGTTTCTATAATATATTCATGTTATCTGTCCAAATAATGACGATAAATAATTCTCTCTATATACGAGTATATAAAAGTATAAAATAGTCAAATTATATACGGTGGTAAGCGTAATTATATCAATACAATGAAGACGACCTTTTATTTAAGTTTCGATTGTTAACAAGGTTTCTTCGAATTACAAGTTGCCAAGTACTAAGTAGCTTTTTTAAAGCTTTTTTAAATTGATAATTTCTCTTGACTTTTATGTGTTTGTGTATCCATGCTGTTTAAGAACTAAGTTTATATGAAAATGTAATTCAAAAGTCGTCTTCTGTCGATACAATTGCCTACCACTGTACCATAGCAAGGATGTCTATATAAGAGTATAAAAGTATAAAATGGTTAAATTATATAGCAAAGCAAGGATGATCATTATTTAAATGATAGTAAAAATGGCCTATGATCATCAGATGATAAAGTATAGTTGATCATTGAACAAATGAGATAATTATTGATCAAATGACAAAACATCATATTGACGATATAGAAAGGTTATCATTGTTAAAATAATGTTTCAAGGATGATCATTTTGATCGGATGATATTGAAAGATGAATATGATCATGATCATGATATTACAAGGATTGGATAATCATATTAAAAATTTTATAGCCCTTAGCACTCAGGGTAAACAGGAGAGCAAAGACCTCTCATACAATCAAAATCATTTTATTACCTTAAATTTGATCTCACAAGGAAGGGAAGCACGTGCCCTTATGCCCCCCCCCCCCCGTTACGGAACTGATTGACTCCATGATATAGCTAGGATGATCAATCATTATTCATAGAATGATATAGCAAGGGTCGTTGATCAATAATCAATGATCATTGATAGAATGACATAGCGATGATGATTATTTTTCAAATGATATACAGTGAGAACCAGAAAACTGTGGAAAAAAAATTTCATAATTAAAAGAAGAATTACAACGAGAATTTCATTGATTTCTGATTCAACCTGTAGCAATGATCATCAAAAATCATTGATCCAAGCTGGGAACTCCATTATGAGCTTGGAACTATAGAATGGTAAATATCGAGATCAATTCTTAATCCTCTCTTCTTCTAGCTTAATCTCGAGACTAACCTAATCTTGTGCTTGTATCCTTGAAAAGTGTATAAAATTCAACCTATCAGAGTCGGATATCAGAAGCCGCGGGAAATTTGAAATTTTGCGCGCCATTTAAGATTAATATACAGAAACGGGAGGGACTCTCTAATTTTGAAAAACCGGTTTTTGATTTTTCTGTGCTATATCCAAAAAAGAGTGGATTAAGCAAGAAATTAAAAGTGTCCACATTGGATATTCGGATTTAGAAGTCGGGATTAAAGTTCCCATTCTAAAGTTCCCAGCTCTAGAATAAGAAGATTTTTTATTGTTAAACCTTATATTATTTAGGTGTATGACCCAAAGAAGAACCGATGGAAAACAATATCGGATCTCTCCGCTAAGCGGTGGAAATGTGGTTTAGTCCAGCTCGGAGGATATCTCTACGCTGTCGGAGGCATGGATTCTCCCAGGGCAGGGTTCTGGGGAGCTCCGCTTAATACAGGTTAAATACAATATTAAGACAAAATCGTCAAAATTACAGTAGTCTCAAGAAAAAAAATTGAGAAGACGATATTAAGTCTTGAGTTTTAATAAAGTTGATCTTATAGCTACAATAACCCATTCTACAATGATTTTTTAATCATCAAAAACATAGTTTTGGTTTCAAGGTCGTCTTTCTTAATCTTTAACTTTGAAAAAATTGTCACCTAGATTATTTTTAAGTAATCTGAACATTTTTAGACCCTAGACTATTTTTATTGTATCTTAAAAACACTTCTTGAACAACAGAAAACAGTGTTGGGGGAGAAATTTAATGAGAAATTCCATACAAAATAAAATAAATTCAGGTTAATTTTTTCTGACCGAACCCAGGATCCGGATCCGTTATATATAATTAATATTTTCAGTGGAACGATATTCAGCAAGAACGGATACCTGGACGAATATTGCTCCGATGCATGAGAGTAGGTTCGGTTGTGCCGTAGTATCCCATCAAGGAAAGATCTATGTGAGCGGAGGGTTCGGACAGGATAAAGCAATTCTCAGCAGCGTAGAGTGCTACGACCCGGAGACAGATAGATGGTCTAAACTCTCCAATATGAAGAAAATGTGCGGTTTTGTCGGCGGAGTTCTGATAGATCGTCCAGTACTATTCGAGACAGAGGGAGAGACCAAGATAGTTGCCCAACGGAGCTCACGTACAGAAGGAAGGTCGATACGTTCCAACAGTAATATGTGACTTCGTGACGTCATTCAGAACCAGTTTTATCGATGGAAAACTATTGGCTAGCCAACTCTTTCATTAAGAGTTCCTCTACAGATTCACATCTAGTAGGACCTCTCTCTTATTCTACTATGTAGTACCACTGGAGAGACTCTGTCTATAAGAGTTCCACAGATTCACATATAGTAAGACCTCTCTCTTATCCTACTATATAGTACCACTGGAGAGACTCTGTCTATAAGAGTTCCACAGATTCACATCTAGTAAGACCTCTCTCTTATCCTACTATATAGTACCACTGGAGAGACTCTGTCTATAAGAGTTCCACAGATTCACATCTAGTAGGACCTCTCTTTTATCCTACTATATAGTACCACTAGAGAGACTCTGCCTATAAAAGTTCCACATATTTACATCTAATAGGACCTCTCTCTTATCCGACTATATAGTACCACTGGAGAGACTCTGCCTGTAAGAGTTCCACAGATTTACATCTAGTAGAACCTCTCTCTTATTCTTGTATCCATGAAGAGACAGTGAAACAGAACCTATTTATTTTCTAGTCAGGATGTTATCCTTACAGGGAATGTCTACGTAATTTAAAGTTATTTCTACCATTTTTTTATAAAAGCAAATTTCCCGGGCATTTAAAAAATATATTTTTTATAAGCAAGCGAGATAATGACCTATTTCCACATATTTTAATTCTTAGTTTAACCAAAAAACTGAAAGATGTCCTGAAATCCTGAACTAAACGATAACTCTAGATTACGTTGACAATTCCTTTGAGCTATTCGGAGCTTCTTTTTTAGAGAATCCATGGAATTCGACAAATGCCCCACATCAAATTACAGCTGTTTAAAACCCCTAAAGAAAAGTCAGCTTTCAAAACCAAATTCAGTACTTTGGAAGTTTTTTAGCCCGTGCTTTCAGGATCGAGTTCATAATGATTTTGAGAGAATTAAAACTTTTGGATTAAAGATTTATTAAGATTAATATAATCTCATCTTGGACTTGGAAGCAAATTGTGCGTAAAAAGTTAGATTACTTTCTCAATTAATTCTCTTCAACTTATCTCTTTTTTTTAACAAATGTCTGCAAAATTAATCAGCAGCTGATTTTCAGTCTTAATAATTGCACTGAATTTTCATCATTAGAATTATTCATTCATTATTTTTAAAATTTATTAAAAATTAATTTCCACAAGTGAAGATAAATGATGATGTAAAATCTTTATTTAGAACTAGATTTTCTAATTAATTAAATATTATTGTGAAGTATCAAAAATTTGTATTTCAATATTTGATCTCTATCAGGATTTATTGCAGGAAATTTTAAAAATATTTTACTTCACAAAATTTTCATCTGCAAACATTTTTATCAAAAATTATTAAATTATTATTATTTAAAATGTTGAAATTAAAATCCAAACTGACCAATCTTATAATGTGAAATCTAAAAATGTGACTGAAAGGAATTAAGTTTTCGTATCCCTATATCTATAAAACCTAATTGTGTAAACCTTTGATATTTCAAACTTAGGTTATTTGATCTAACAGAAGTCAGAGTTTGAAATGTCTAAAGTCTACGACATAGGGTTTCAAAGATATAGGGATTGTGAAATCATAGTTTGTGGCAAAGACTCAATTCCTTTATTCATCATTGAGTAACAGATATAGCTTTTTAAGCTTTTTTTCTTATGTGTAAGCTCTGAAATGTAACCCCAAAAGTCCTACGCGTTGAAACATAAAAAAAACTTCTCTATTTGAAACTAGTTGAAATTAAGACATATGTGCTAGTCATATAAAGCCAGCAGTGTTTGCTTGCAAGTCATAAAATCGTGAATTTATTTCATCACAGTGATATATCAGCTTAACAGTTATACAGCTAAGCAAGCTCTACAGTCATATAGTTATAAAGCATTTTGTCAGTATTTAAAAAAGTGTTATTTTGTAATATGGTCTTAATTATTGATTAAATGTATTCTTATTCTATTCGAATTGTATTTACATAGATACATGACATTAAATGTATTTAGCTGTTTAGTAACTATTTGAAAAATGAATTGAAATGTGTATTTTTTGCCTGAATAAATTATTAATATGCAATTAATAGTGAATGTTTTTTTTTACTATTTAGCTAGATGCAGTGTAGAAGGATGTGTTTAATGTTTTACAGTCAGTAAGCTTTAACTTTGGAATCCATTTTTACGCGTTAAATACAGGGCAAAATAGTTCCACACCTCGTGTTGGCCAATTCCCAACACTGAGAGTTATCTGAAAAATTATCTTTCGTTCAAATTAAGCCGAACAGAACAAAATGGCATCATTTATTTATTTTAAATGGGTGATACTATATATTTAAGCATGAAATATCAACTTTTAAGAAATAATAAGCTTAAAGATTTATTAGATATACAGAATTAAAAGAACAGAGATAAATTAGTTTGAAATATCTAGTATTTTGATGCTCCAATGTGGGAACTCTTGTATTGTGGATATCGAGATCAATCTGCAGATTAATTTATTCTTTATCTGATATCCAGTTCAACACAAAACAAAAGTTCCCAGCTCAGAGCTGGGAACTTTTGAATAGTGGATATCGGGATTAATGCTTGATCCAAGATTAGATAATGCTTGTTTTCCTCTTGTTATTAATCTCCAGATTAATCAACCGATGGGGATTAAGGATATCCTATTCTAAAGTTTTCAGCTCTGATCAGACAATCGGTTTACGTAATATTATCTATCTACAGGATTATCCACAGTGGATGAAACTTCAGATGAGAACTGTACAGTATTTATTCAATCTTGTTACATCTTGTTACATCTTGTTACATCTTGTTACATCTTGTTACCTTAAATATCAGAGAAAACCGAAGATTATAAAATATATTCAATTCAAAGTGATTCCCTGGAAATATTTAGACAAAGAGAATAGAATATATATTAGAGTGAAATTTACTAGTAAAAAGGGTAAAACGGCCATATTGTTGTCTATTTCCATACTGCGTCTGCAGGTGTACTTCACATATTTGCGCTATATAACCTTTTGGGCTCTGAAACATCATTTTATAGAAAATCTAAAATTAATATTAAAAGAAAACCAAATTATGAAATAGGCTGGTTTCATAATTGACCAATGATCATTTCACATAGACTCTATGCCTTTTACTTTACAAACGATGATTTTCCGTTATAACTATAAATCAAATGATGTTTTTATTCACCTTATTCATTTTTTAAAGTTTATTTAACAGCTTTAAAAAATTCGAAATTGAAATGGATAGTCCAGGGAACATACTGTATTATTGTACTCTACTACATACAATTTGTGAACATTTGCAGGGGCTGACAAAAATACATACCGTGTGATTGTCTAAATTCCACTCTAATATATTTTCTATTCTCTTTGGATTTAAATCTATAAAAAGGGACTGGCAGCTTAATTTCAAGTGACCCTCCATCCAAAAATGCAATTCACAACGGTACCCTACAAGGCTTTGCCTGACAAGTCTAGCACTATCAGAAAATAAAACTTTTAAACCTGGAAAAGCAAAAATATCTTCCACATTATTGTTCAGCTCAAGGTTACAAGGGTACCGTTGTGAATCCATCTTTGCCTGGAGGGTAATTTGAACTTTCCCTTACAAGTTAAAAAGTTGTCTATGGCTGCTAGCAGTTAGTTCTAAACTATTAACTAATTAGTTTTATTTTATTTTGGAAATTAGAAAAAAAGAATTTAAGATTATTTTATTAAAATTAAAACTACTTTTATCACAAAAATTATGTTTGTATTGCACTATCCCTTGACCAGTAAATATTAATAGCCAAAAAAATTACATTATACAGTTTTAAAAATACATATGTTATACATTTTAATTTAGGTCTCAAATCTGGGGGAAACAATTTGTGGGTTTAGGGGGGGAGGGATTTCTTGTAAAGGAAGAGGCCGGGAATATTCCCTTTATTAACAATGAGTAAATGAAAGGACTAAGTAACAATTAATTACAACTCTGAAGTCGCCATTTTAACTTTATATTTGAACCAAGGTTCAGAACAGTTTCAAACATTTGAACAATGTTGGAAGAAGAATTGTTAGGAGTTTTCTTCTTCTTCTCAAAGAACCCAGGATTTAGCTACATCAACATTACGCGCCTGCCACTGTGCTCTTGTTATCCTCGTACGCTCATAATCCTTAGAAGTTGCATGTGCGCAAGCGCCAAGAAATGCCGCGTGGTACCTATACGGAGACGCATGGACTCGAGGACGAACCGGAAGTAGTTTGGTTAGCTCTAGCTCCAGCCTATGTTTGAACCCAGGAACTAGAGTTAGTCCTCCACCCAGGAATATAGACTGAGAAACCTGCTTCCTCACATCAACACTGCACTCGGAGATGGCTTTCTTTACCAGTAAGTGTACTCCGTCCTGGTCCAGCCCCCAGCCTTCAGGTTTAAATATTCCTTCTGTTATCTGAAATCTTTCTGGACCTAGTGTAACCGAAGATATCCTGCTCCCTTCACTTAGGTTCAAGGACTTCTCTTCTCCTTTAAAGTTCTCCATCTCAGTTTCAAAGCTTCTTGACACATAACACAGCCTCTCTACAACCTGTCTCACAATGTAAGTATCTAGATGAGCTGTGAGAGAATAGTTCCGTCCAAGCAGGGCCTGAGTCATATGATTACACATCTCCATCCCTCCTGTTGCAGCCCTGGAGAGCCCAGACTGAACCTTATATCCGGATACTATAGGAACTATTTCCATCCTCTCTCCTATATCTACAACTATACCAGTATCTGTATTGTAGGAGTGAAGGGTGAAGACCGACTGATGACCCATGTTTACAGATTTAACTTCAAACTCGTCAAAGAGCAGGGATGCAATCGCAATCTTGGTTTTATCATTAAAGTTTCGTGGAACACTGAGCTGAAGTTCGGATCTTTTTGGATCAACTCTAAGATCCTGGAAAACTTTGAGAAGGAATCCACAAAGTGCAACTAGATCAACAGAGTATTTATCTATATTTTTGGAGGGTAACAGTGGAGAATATATGTTACATTTAGATCTAATTTCAGGTTTCAAGGCGTCAAATCCAAAATATTTCTCTTGTGAAGATGCAGGGTTAACGGCCATTAAACTTGGGAAGAAAAGTCTAGGTAGGTATGGTGTGGGTCCGCATATTCCTGCTCGGATAGAGGCTCCACCTAGATCAACTACTATTATATTAGACATGGTTTTAATATCTCTAGGTATAGGATGAGGAGAGATAAATGTCTTTGCATAGTTCTCCAGAGTATGGAAGGAAAGTGCAGATTCCCATTCCTGGGTTGCTATATGAGAAGCACATCGTACAACAACATATTGTCCTTTTCTATCCTCAATCCCCAGCATACTTGAATCCATGAAGTCGACCTGTCCTCCAAACAGTTCCAGCTTCTCAAGTAGCTCCGTCTGAGCCTTGTTGGAGTAAATATGAAGAATTCCATTCCTCGCAACAAAATAATGTTTTTTCCAACTGTTCCATAGCGTTGGACGTTTTCTACCAGCAGGCAGTTTCTCCATGTACCCTTCTATAGAGGGACAGGACTGGGAACTGTCCAGGGAGACGGGACCATCATCTCCGCTCAGGTGGGGTTCATCTAGAGCAGGAAGGTTGTATAAACTTTTCACAAAAACTTCGGGATCCCATTTTGAATCATCCTTGTGAGCATTTGTTTCCTGCTTCCCTGTTTTGTAAACAAGAGGAGGACTCTCAAGGTTATCTACTCCTACAGTCGGAGCAATCTTCCTCGTTTCCGTCCTAACCTGCTGGTTTTTGAATTGGGGTGGGATCCTGGAAGGTTTCTCTTCTGTAGAAACTCGGGACGCGGTTTTGGTGCGCTCCGGAGCTGGGGTTGAACTGGGTTTTCCTGTCTCAAACCTTGCAAGGAGTTTTCTTACTGACGGTAAACCCGTTTCATCTGTGTCTGGGGATACATGATTTGGAGTTGGGACTGGAGTAGGTTTGTTTGATACAGGATTGAGAGCTGGGACTGGAGTAGGTTTAGATGATATAGGATTGGGATTTGGGACTGGAGTAGTTTTGGTTGATTGATATTTAAACAGATCAGCAGATATTTGAGTTTTTTCCTTGACAGTTCTTTGTCGAATAGTTTCATGATAAACATCAACCGATCTATCTCTATCCTTAGCATCCTTACTCACTGCTGCTGTATTCACTGGTTGAACTGGGACGGAAGGAATACTTGGTATTGATTCTTGGTACTCCATCTTTTCAGGTTTTTTCATAGATTTCCGAGATTCAAAAACTTCGGAGTTTTTCACGGCTGCAATACTTTCAAACCGTAGTTTTATTTGATCAACGGTATCCTTCCTTCTTCGGTTAGGTTGGGTCGGAGCAAGAGAAATATCTTCATTCATCTCTTCAGTTTGTGTCCGGGTGGGAGTACTCTTTTTCAGGGTTGAGTTGATCGGAGAGTTTAGGTCGAAGACGGACGGATTCCTCTTTCGGACGGGTTCCACACTTGGTCTCAATAGATCTGATTCACTCCGGCTGAAAGTTTGTCTCAGGTTGAATAAACTGCTGGATCCTTTCTGTTGACGTTCGTTCTTCTTGTTTTTTATTTCTTCTTTCTTAAATCCGTTCTTGTATTCTGTCGAAATTATATTCCGGGTCAGAGAGTTCTCAGGATCAAATTCTTCAAATTCAATGTGCATGTGTTCATTTGTTTGTTTCTCAATTGTTCTTAGGGGCTTGATACTTTCTTTCACTTTCTCCGTTACATTCTCCTTAAATCTATCTTTTTCTTTCACTTTCTCCGTTACACTCTCCTTAAACTTATCTTTTTCTTTCACTTTCTCCTTAATTCTATTTTTGTTTCTGTTAATCTCCTGATATTGTCGCTCCAAGGTGTTTGACGTGTCTACTGCTACATCATGTCTTTCGGGAAACTCCTGAAAAGAAAATGTTAGACAATGAATTGTATGTTTAAGTTTTGTGGTGTTAGATAACGGTTTACGCTTGTTGTAAACTCAGTAAAATATCCAAAGGAATTGAGTCTTTGACACAAACTCTGATTTTCTAATTCCTATATCTCTGCAACACAATGTCGTAGACCTTAGATATTTCAAGCTATGCATTCTGTTGGATCAAATTATCTTAGTTTGAACTATCAAAAGTCTACAACATGAAGTTTTAAAGATACAGGGATTAGAAAATTCGAGTTTGTGACAAAGACTCCTTTATGTTTAGATCCTGTATAAAGGGACTGTACGAGTATGTTCCAGTGAATTTCCATTAAAGAGGGGGTACATTAATTCACATCGGTACCCTTTAAACCTTAAGGATAGAACACTTCTCCTTATTTAACAACAGAAACGTGTCTAATTTTTGAATTGTTCTTATTCTTCATTATCCCTTCTCTTTCTTCATAATCCTTTCTTCTACTTCATAATCCTTTCTTTTTCATTATTATCCTTTCCTTCTTCATTATCTCTTCTCCTTCTTAGTAATCCTTTATTTTTCTTTATTATCCTTTCTTCTTCTTCATTATCACTTCTTCTTCTTCATTATATTTTCTTCTTCTTCATTATCACTTCTTCTTCTTCATTTACACTTCTCCTTCTTAACTAACCTTTCTCCTTCTTCATTATCACTTCTCCTTCTTCATTATCCTTTCTTCTTCTTCATTATCATTCCTTTTTCTTTATTTTCCTTTCTTCTTTTTAATAATCCTTTTTCCCTTCTTTATTTCCCTTTCTTCTTTTTCATTATCCTTTCCACTTTTTCATAATTCTTTTTTCTTCTTCATTATTCTTTCCACTTCTTCATTATCCTTTCTCTAACTTCATTATCTTTTCTTTTTCTTCATTATCCTTTCTCCTTCTTCATTATCCTTTCTTCTTCTTCATTATTTTTTCTTATTCTTCATATTCCTTTATTTTTCTTCATTATCCTTTCTCCTTCTTAATAATCCTTTCTTCTTCTTTATTATCCTTTCTTCTACTTCATTTTCCTTTCTTCTTCTTCATTTTCCATTCTTCTACTTCATTATCCTTTCTTCTTCTTTATTATCCTTCCTTCTTCTTTATTATTCTTTCTTTTTCTTCAATTTCATTTCTTCTTCTTTATTATACTTTCTTCTTCTTTATAATTCCTTCTCCTACTTCATTATCCTTCATTCTTCTACATTATCCTTTTTTCTTCATTATCATTTCTTCATCTTCATGATCCTTTCTTCTTCTTCATTATCCTTTCTCCTTCTTCATTATCCTTTCTTTTTCTTCATTATCCTTTCTTTTTCTTCATTATCCTTTCTTCTACTTCATTTTCCTTTCTTCTTCTTCATTTTCCATTCTTCTACTTCATTATCCTTTCTTCTTCTTTATTATCCTTCCTTCTTCTTTATTATTCTTTCTTTTTCTTCAATTTCATTTCTTCTTCTTTATTATACTTTCTTCTTCTTTATAATTCCTTCTCCTACTTCATTATCCTTCATTCTTCTACATTATCCTTTTTTCTTCATTATCATTTCTTCATCTTCATGATCCTTTCTTCTTCTTCATCATCCTTTCTTTTAAAATATCATCAACTTTTTAAAACTTTTCATTCTTAATCCTTAGTCTTGTCATTTCTTTTCTTGCATTATTACTTTATTCCCCTTTTTCTACTTCTGATCTCTTTTGCTTAAATTTTCTTACTCCCGCATTTCTTGTCTTCCTTTTCTTCTACTTTTTTCCCTTACCCCAAATTTTAGTAATTTGTTCTTTTTTCACGTATTTTTTTTTTGATTATCCTTTTCCCGATTTCTTTTCATAATAATAAAAGAATTAAAGAACTGTTCAGTTTTTCTAGTTTTCATGGTATAAAATGTTTATATTGAGTAAATTATTTGATCACCATTGTTGTGCCTCCTCCTCCAGGTGTAGGCTTATACTAGCATATGCTCACTAATAGATCAAGGTTTTAGCCTTAGTATTTTTTTTACAACCAGGAAAAAACTTATTTATTAACTAAATCAGGAAATTAATTTATAGTTCCTAATAATGAGAATAAAGTTAAGTTTTCACTTTTCTAACCACCCTTAGATTTGAACTTTTGCCTTCATGTTTTCGCATAAATAATAAACGTATGATTAATGCAAGGTGTGAACACATTAATTTATATAAAAATGAAAACTATTTTCTTATCTTCAATTTCTCCAAATGTTTTATTCAATAAAAGAGAATGAATTGATTTCTAGAATTTATCCTGGGAAACAATTCGTAGTTTTAACTAATTGCATTTATATGAAACTGAAATATACAACCTTTTGTTCCCGTAAACTTATACTTTCTCCGTGTGTAATCAAGTTCTGATGCTGAGTATGGTCTAGGATGAGGATTATGGGAGAAAGTTAAAACTGTATCTCTACCGTCCAGTAGGATTTGTAGGCCACATCAATTTAACTAAAGTGGTGCTAAACCCAGATACCAGACTAGATACTAGAGTTTAGTTCAACACTCTCTATATATGCATATTCTAGGAGAACAAAGGGTCAGGATATATTTCTCCTGGTTCCGTGACAAATGAATGATTTCTCCTAAGTCACTCTCTAAGTGCAGAGATTATATATAATTGTTTAAGCGTACCTTATCCTTGGACGAGAATATCTTTCTCAGGTTCATCATGTTCTCCGTATCCTTGATACATACGTCCTCAACACTACCAAACATATCTCCGCTGGACGGAGAGGAAGGTTGGGTATCATCACTATGCAAGGACGGAGAACTTCTATATCCAGAGCTTTTGTCATCACTGAGTTCGTTCATGTAGATAGGTTCAGTCTCATTCTAGGATTAGTAGAAAACATTAGGGAGAGAAATATTGTTCTTTCTTCCTGTTAGATAATAAAGGTTTGGGGGGACATAGTTAGCAGGCCGGAGGGGGGTTTTCACTTTTTAAAAAAGGGGAAATTGGGGAAGGGGTGGAGATTTTTTTGTATTAGAATTGGAGTTTCTTTTGGTTATGTTGGTTTTAGAATAAAGCATGTTTCAGGATAGAGTAGGAGAAAAAGTATGGGTAGCAAAAAAGTAGAATTATTGGAGTAAGATTAAGAAGGAGTATTTTCTATACTGACTCGAACTAACTAACTTATTTATATTTTTGGTAGACCTAGACATATACATTTTAGAACTATTAATCAGTTGTTTTCAGTTTTCAAAAATAACTGGCAAAATTCTCATCGATTTTCGCGAGAGAGCTTCCAACCTTTAGATCACTGTGAGTAGAAGATGGTGTAAGAGTAAAAACAGGAGAAGGACTAGAAGTAAGAGGAGGAGTATATGTAGGAGAAAGTAGGAATAGGAGTTGGAGTAGTAGTATTTAGGGTAGGACGTTTTCACAAATACCTGTCTATAATCTTGGTTTTCACAAATACCTGTCTATAATCTTGGTTTTCATAAATATTATCCTGATCTGCTCCCACCGATATACCTCTGCAAGTATTATCAAGATTAGTTGGCAGTTCGTCCTTCCTACTCGGATACAATTAATGTTATGAATAGAGGTTCCAATCTTATCCAGGCTTTGTGTTAAACACTGCTCTTTGTTTTACCTTAATGTATCATAATCTGGGTTCTCCTCTTCTATTGGGGGAAGAATATGGTCTCTGGTCTGCAAATAGAAAAACATTATTTTTATAAATAACTTCATTATTTAACATTCTATTGCATACACATTACACAACAACGTGAACAATTTTCAAAGGTCTGGTCTAAATGTTTGAAAATCAAAACGTTTGGATTGAATAATTTTCTCACCTTAGGGACATCATAATCACTCTGGAAGTAATCTAGTTCCAAAATCTCTGATTTCCCGGTTTTCGGTGTATCGTAGGTTTGCAGGTCGTCTTCGAAATTCTGATTGAAATAAAGCGCTTCCGAATTTGAACGCGGCACATCGTACACTTGTTCCACGTGTACACTACTCGACCTCGAAGTCTCAAGGAACACGAGGTTCTCGTAGAAGGCCTCGTCATCATCTAGAAGTTAAAAGGATTTTTATGTAACTTTAAATAATTACCTAACAAAAAATAATAAATGTCTCTAGTTTTCGGTTTCTTTGTTTCGCAACTTCAATTATTGTGAGAAGCCCTGACAATCCTGGTTCCGATCAAAATTCGTTGATTATAGTAATAGTAATGTAATAATAATGATAAACATAATAATAATAATAATAATAATAATAATAATTTCGAGCCAGTCGGGATTAAATGTTGTCATTGTCAAAACGTTGGAACACCAGAACGAGACTTAAAGAATGATACATGTTTTTTAAAAGTAATGATCAGAAGGTTAAATTTGATCTACAGAAATCAAGAATACAGCTGCAACAAAATAGTGAATGGAAGACTAGATTAGATTGAATGAATTCCATTCAGTCGTCTCTAAAATCTTTAAAATTGTTGGGTACTATCCTGTATTTGGTATTTTCGGTCAGACTTAAAAATAAATAAAAAATGCTTAAAATCTGCCAATATCGAGATTTTGTTGCGGATTTTCTTAGTTGATGACCTATTTAAATTATAAAGCGTATGAATCGCCCTGTGAAACTCAGACACAGTTCACACTGTATAGCCTAAGGACTAAAGCCTATCGACGTGCGGTCATATTTTTACAGAAATGAATAGTTCATGTTCATAATTTTCAGTTAATAGAATTTTTGCCACACACTCTAATTTGTTTACACCTTATATCTTTGCAACCCAATGTCGTAAACCTTCCATATTTCAAATTATGAATTCTGTTTGGTCAAATAATAAAATTTTCAAATATCAAAAGATTACACCACCAGGTTGCAAAGATATAGAGATTTAGAGATTAGAAAATTTGAGGTTGTGGCAAAAACTCAAATTACGTTTTTGCATTGATAATATATTGAGATTATTTGTTAGAAATTTTCATTTCATAAGATTTTCCTGTAACAGCCCCTCAGGGAGAGCCCTATTTTCTTCTCTTTTCATGAATAAAAAAATATAACAATACGTAACAAAATCATAACACAGAAATCCTAATTTTGCTATATTTTTTAATTAATAAGCAATCATCATTCTCGAGACCCACTGTATGAGGCAAGGTACCTGTAACAATGGTCCGGTTGACCGCAGAAACAGATCTTTCCAGACTTCTCTGTCGAGATCTTTCATACGCGGCATTCAAATCCTCTTTCCACTTGACAGTACTTCCCTTCGGAGTATCATAGATCCCGAAGTCGCGGTTCTCGTCCCGATGCTTCCTGGATCTATGCTTTCTCTCCGACTGCTCTAGGTTGATCTCCACATGTTTTCCATGGTTGGAATGATGTTTGCGAGATTTCTTGGTTTCTCCGGAATTTTTGAGAATTCCTTTTGTTTTAGCTTTTCTCTCCGCTCGCCTCGGTTCCCCAGTTTCTATCTCCTCAACCCCCATTCCTGAAATATTTTTGGGATTAATCTTCATATATCAGCGGCATTTAAAAGTACTTTCTATAAATATATTGTTTTGATCGAACTTTATAATTACATAAAAATAATATTTAATTTATTGTATTTTAAGTATTTCGCGATAGTCTGTTTGATAATTAAACCCTGTATATGAGTTTGATTAGGTTATTACTCACGTTTAAAGAAACCCCTGTATATAAGCTTGATTAGGTTATTACTCATGTGTAAAGAAAACCCTGTATATAAGCTTGATTATTTTTTTACTCACGTTTAAAGAAAGCCCTGTATATAAGCTTGATTATTTTATTACTCACGTTTAAAGAAACTCCTGTATAAAAGCTTGATTAGTTTATTACTCACGTTTAAAGAAACCCCTGTATATAAGCTTGATTAGTTTATTACTCACGTTTAAAGAAACCCCTGTATATAAGCTTGATTAGTTTATTACTCATGCTTAAAGAAACCCCTGTATATAAGCTTGACTAGTTTATTACTCATGTTTAAAGAAACTTCTGTATATAAGCTTGATTAGGTTATTACTCATGTTTAAAGAAACCCCTGTATATGATTAGTTTATTTCTCACGTTTAAAGAAACCCCTGTATAAAAGCTTAAATAGTTTATTACTCATATTTAAAGAAACCCCTGTATATAAGCTTAAATAGTTTATTACTCATGTTTAAAGAAACCCCTGTATATAAGCTTAAATAGTTTATTACTCATGTTTAAAGAAACCCCTGTATAAAAGCTTAAATAGTTTATTACTCATGTTTAAAGAAACCCCTGTATAAAAGCTTAAATAGTTTATTACTCATGTTTAAAGAACCCCCTGTATAAAAGCTTAAACAGTTTATTACTCATGTTTAAAGAAAATCCTGTACTTAGCTGTGCATAAGCTTAATTACTTGTTTTCTTGTGTTTAAAAATGGTGTAAGCAAAACATGAAATTAGCGAAAAATAAAATATTAACGGTTCCATAAATACGTGTCTAGCAGACAATAAATTCTACTCTTTAAACCTACATACCTTTAACCTTTAACCCCATATATTCTATTTTTCATCAAAAGAATATAAACAAACCGATAAGTAGTTTTCACTGCTTCATGCAAAAAAATTGGTCATTAGCCCTCCAATGTTTGCAACCTGATGGTGTAAACCTTTTTTAACTAGTTAAAAAAATTATAGGGCAAAGATACGAAATTGCAAAGATAAAATAATGAGAAAATCCCTGTTTGAGGCAAGTAATCAGTTAGAAATTAGAAATCTAGTTCTAAAGATTTATAAAACTATGAAAAAAGTAAACTGACAAACGTCATGATCTAATCTGCCAAATTGAAGGTCACCAAATCCACGAAACAAGAAAACTCTTTACAAATCTTAATATCCCATGAAAAGCCATGATGGCCAAAGCACGATTGAGAATTTTTGTAAAACATATGCATGGCAATATAATACAGTTTAAACAACTTATAAATATGTACATATATATATATATATATATATATATATATATGTACAGTAGTAATCTCTGTTTGTTTGTTTGTTTGTCTGACAGTATGTTTGATTATATCTCATGAACTCCTTGATTTCTCTTAAAGTTTGACTGGGGAAATGTTTTTGTTCCGGATTTAACGTTCCAGACAAAGCTAGGTTCCCAAGCTATAGTATTCAGTATATACGTATGTTTTCAATAAATGCCAAAACGGTCGAATCGATCAAGAAAAATATTTTTTAGGGAATTGATTGGTCAACAGAGTCTAAAAGTTTCAAAAAAAATATATTTTAAAATTTTCTTTTTAAAAATTACGTAATTAAATGAATTACGGAATTACACAGCAAACTTGAGCCAAAAAAAACATTTAGATGGAAAAAATTTCGGAAAGAAATTGAGTCTTTGCCGCAAACTCTGATTTTCTAATCCTGATATCAAATGCAATGTCGTAGAGTTTAGATATTTCAAACTAAGGATTTTGTTAGATCAAATAATTCAAGTTTGAAATATCAAAAGTTTACACCATCAGGTTGCAAATATTTTGAGATTGGAAAATTTGAGTTTGTGGCAACGACTTAATTCCTTTTTTATTTTTAAAACTCTAAGTAGCAATAAGGAAAAAAATTTCTGATTGAAAGGAACTGAGTTTTTGCCACAAACTCGGATTTTTAAATCCAAATTTCTTTAAAATAAAATATCGTAGATCGTAGATATTTCAAACTATGAATTTTGGTGGATCAAACAATGTAAGTTTGAAATATGAAAGGTATGCATCATCTGGTTGTTGAGATTTAGGTATCATAAAATTGGCATTTGTGGCAAAAAACTCAATTCCTTTATATTTGTGTATATGTCTAGTTAATATACACACTTTACATTGACTATGCTGTGTATTATATACTGAATACAACTATAGAGTTTGTGCATATTTGTGTATGTGTCTAGTTAATATACACACTTTATATTGACTATGCTGTGTATTATATACTGAATACAACTATAGAGTTTGTGTATATTTGTGTATATGTCTAGTTAATATACACACTTTATATTGACTATGCTGTGTATTATATACTGAATACAACTATAGAGTTTGTATTCCCTACTGTTTAATAGAAAATAATATTTATATGGCTTCCGTAAAATTTTAGGAGATTAAATTTTCAATACAAATATATATACATTACATGTTCGAAAACACAATATATTAATATTACACTTTTTAGAAAACCAACGAACCAACGAAAATGTTAGATTATGGTGAAATTATTTTTAAAAATATTATTTTAATTTTGTTCTGCAGCCACTTATAATATAAATTAATATTTTCCTTAAATTCATTGGATAAAAGGTAAAAAACGTACGTCCTATGCTATACAAACTTTTAAATAAAACTGTGGAATAGAAAGACGACTGTTTAACTCAAGTTCTGATTTCAAATAGTCCACGAAACAAAAACACAGTAGTTGTGCAGTGTTCACAGTCCCATATTACTTATCAAATTGATTTGTAAGCTACTTGTAAAAATATTTATCCGCCCCAGCACCACATAAATGTTCAATGTTCCGAACACGATGGGAAGACAATTATGTCAACTGAGACCCTATAATTTTAGAAAAATTCCTCCCAATTACGTTAAAAGAAATATGCTTTTTACGTAAAAGTTCGTTAATTAGATCGACCCCCACCACCACTTTATAAACATACATCTAAACTGTTTGTTTTTAATCTTTGTGATAGAAACAATCTCAAGGAATAATAATTGTCTTAAAACATTTTTTAAAGTGAATATTTGCAAATTATCTTTTTTCCATCTCATAATCTGAGTTCGTTTCCCTTATGTCCATTTGACAGCCAAATTTTTTTTTAGATCTTTTTCGTTTGTATATTTTCTTGTGGTTTTTAACAATTTAAAATTTTTTTATCGATTTTGATGGTTATTATTGTTAGAACTGACGAGACTCAACCTAGACCGAAATATATTTTCAATAAATGTGGAACTATAAACATCTACTTTTTTTACTCTACAAAGGTTTGGTCCATCACCATCACCGAATTTTAAAAATACGTTAAAAGAGTCTAGCATCTAGGAGACAGACTTTTTTCTTAATTAGGTCGAGATAGGTTAATTTTCAAAAGATTATATTTGGGTCCAAATTGATCCGGAAAAAAATTGGAAACCTTACTAATTACGCAAACAGTCCCTTTAAACTAATAAATTCCTAAAACTGTCTCTTCTTCTTCTAAATAGATATTTTGAGATCCGGAGATAAATTGGATTAAAGGCTTTGTGTTAATGTTTCTAGTATGTTGTGTAGTGAGAGTAGGTTTCCCTACATCTGTTGAGCAGTATACCCTGAGTCTGGTTTATACTATACCAGGAGCAGAACCAACCATCTGACACCAATACTAACTGTACCAATATAAAATCTAAAAGGAACTGGATTTCCAACTATTTCTAGACTGAACATTTATCATCATTCCTAGATGGTAGATTAATGTAAAAATATCAAGCCTGCACTCAGTACTGGCACACAATATATAGTTCACAGTACATACTGACAGTACACTGGTATGGTGCACAATATATAGTTCACTGCAGTACATACTGACAGTACACTGTACATATGGTACTCAATATATAGTTCACTGCGGTACATACTGACAGTACACTGTACATATGGTACACAATATATAGTTCACAGTACATACTGACAGTACACTGTACATATGGTACACAATATATATAGTTCACTGCAGTACATACTGACAGGGTGTTTGAATGCAAAAACTCTGAAAAGGAAATATGCACCCGGACGTTGCGAAAGTCTCTGACTATCTTTAAAATCTAATCTATTTTGCAAAACCATATCTAAGGTTCTTAATATACTTCTCTAGACTGAAGGTTCAGGTTCTTTATATACACATAGATACTGAAGGTTCAGGTTCTCTTTATACACCTATGATATTGAAGATATAGTTCTCTATATACACCTAGAGACTGTAGGTTTAGGTTCTCTATATACACCTAGAGACTGAAGGTTCATGTTCTCTATATACACCTAGATACGGAAGGTTCAGGTTCTCTATATACACCTAGATACGGAAGGAGCAGGTTCTCTATATGCACCTAGAGACTGAAGGTTTAGGTTCTCTATATACACCTAGATACGGAAGGTTCAGGTTCTCTATATACACCTAGAGACTGAAGATTTAGGTTCTCTATATACACATAGACCTTTAGGTTCAAGGATGATGGAAAGAAGAATGAGGGATTTGATGAGAATTGTATGTTTTTACGCTTTATTTTGTCGGTATTTTGTAAATATAGAGCCATTGTTTAAATTTTACAAAATAAAGCGACTGTTCATAATATTTGAAACTAGATCTTGGCCCAGTCATGATTTCAGTATGAGTGGCCTATTGTCATTTTCATGTCATCCAACGCTTCTTTCAAGTATTTGAAAAATACCATCCGCAACAGAAGTTCGATTTTTGATCACTATTTACAAAAGCTCAAAGAAAACTCGGATAAAAAATAAGAATATTGGCAATCATCTCAACCCTCAATTATTTAAATTTTCTTATTTTCAGTTCTCAACCATGGTTAATGAACAGTTAACCAGAGAATAGCGCTGACTTTATATCTTCGAAATAACCTTTTATTAAATTAAAAAGTTTTTGCGAGAATTGCCGTAAAAATCACAAATAATGCGTGTAAATTAAAGATCACTGCTTTAAAATATTATTTCTTCTTTTTGGATTTTTACCAACCACACCTTTATATGAATGATTACATCTGTTTTATATGTGAAATAAATAATATTAATAATAATAACTAGCTGAAGTGCCCGGCGTTGCCCGTGGAAATTTTTTTTTAAAACGTCCATCTTTTTTATTGGATACAAACAAACAAACAAACAGATTAGCAAAGTAAATATGTATATAAATAGATGGTTAATTTTTTTCTATGAGGCTGATGATGCAACACTGTACAAATATACATAATATACAAATAAGCATTAAACTGATGCCATCATGAAACTGATTTCCTTTATCAAAATATAAATCACGTTTTTAATTTAAAAATCTGAAAAAATGGATAAAAGATTAAAGGTTTAAAGGATAAAAGGATGGGATAAAACATGAAAGGTTTGGATTAGGTTCTGTTATACCTCGCTACTGGATCCAATATCAGTATAAGAACTAAGAGAACTAGGAGAGCAAGTGAACTATCCTTCTCATCCCTCCTGCCTGTGCAGTACTGAAGTTTCACTGTGTGCACGGAGAAAGTAGTTTTAACACATGTGTTCTCCGTTCAATCTAGCGCGCTCAACTGAACCTTCAGGACACGGGGAACCTCAACGCCAGCAGTTTTAAATTCGAGATTTTGTGGTTTAAAATAAAATAAATCGTTGTGCAATCGATCCTCTTTCCTACATTACTTATTCATTTGTCTTCATTCCTCTTTTTTGGTCTTTACATCAATCAGTTTACTTCCTCTAGTTGATTTATTTATAAACATATTCAAATATAGATTACTAGCTTAAGAACCCAGCTTTACATCAATCAGTTTACTTCCTCTAGTTGATTTATTAACAAACATATTCAAATATAGAATACCAGCTTAAGAACCCAGCTTTAGATCAATCAGTTTACTTCCTCTAGTTGATTTATTAATACCCATATTCAAATATAGAATACTAGCTTAAGAACCCAGCTTAACATCAATCAGTTTACTTCCTCTAGTTGATTTATTAATAAACATATTCAAATATAGAATACTAGCTTAAGAACACATCTTTACATCAATCAGTTTACTTCCTCTAGTTGATTTATTAGTAAACATATTCAAATATAGAATACTAGCTTAAAGGGACTGTAAAGGAAAAATGAAAGGGGGTATAGGCTGAAACCCGAGAATCTCAGGATACCTATAAGACATCTATCTGAGGTTCCTGTCTCGAGAAATTGAAATAAAACTGTGTCAAAATTTTACCAAAACCTATATTATATGTCTCAATCAACTCCCTTTCATTTTTTCTTTACAGTCCCTTTAAGAACCCAGCTTTGCTTGAAAACTAAATAAAACTTAACCCACTCAATAATCTAAGCCAAGAACATTGAACAAACAAACAGACAGACAGACAAACAGAGTTTACTACTTTATATATAGATATATACCTTCTTTTTTCTTTTTATTAATACTTTTCTCCATTTATTAATTGTTGCCATTTACCTTATTGCTCTAAATCTTTACGCCATTTCATTCTTATACAATTTCTCTTTTTTCCTATTATTGTCTCCTTTTTTCCATTGTTTCCTCTTTTAATCGTTTATTAATCCTCATCCATATCCAAATCCCACCCCCCCCCCGCATACTTTGATACTCTGCGTGAAAACTTTTATAAAATAGAAAACGAAACCGTCCTCCATGAACAGAAATTATTTAGGACACAAGATTTGACGGATTGAAATATAGTTTAGCCACCAGGTCTCGCGGATTTGTTGTTTTTTAAGTTTCTCTCTCTGAGATAACACATTTAGAAAACGTATTTTAAAGATATAAAGATACATCATGTTGAATCTACAGATTTCTCTGTATAAATATAATAAATCAAGGTTGAATGCTGGGATGGGGGGGGGGGCCGGAAACCGGAAACATAATTATAAATGAATGGTGGTATATATATACTGGTGTATACATAGTAATATAAACCGGTAATTACATTAATGTAAACCGATCTTGTTATATTCAGGATATATCTTCTACTGTACAGGTTGAACCAATAGATACACTCTAGACATCTTTATAATAAAACAAGACATTCGTATATCAGCTGGACCGATTGGGCTGAAATTTTGTGTGGACACTCATGGGTGTCCGGGGGTGTTAAAGGCTATAAAAAAATTTGAAACTTGTTGTTTCTCAAATTTTTAAAAAAAAAATTTTATTTATTTTTTTCCACGGGCAACGCCGGGCCCTCAGCTAGTCTTTAATATATATACAATAATAAAGGGTGATCTAAAAACATAAGAATTTTGAGTCAACTATAAAGGGAATATATAAGCATAAGTTTAAGTGACCCTCCATGCAAATATAGCAATGCCCGATTCACAATCTAACAGACAGTCAATTAGAAATTAGAAATTAGAATAGGAGAAATATGACATATGGTTTAGAAATGACCATTATGCTATCATTATATATATTTTATTTCAATTATAAATTCTAACTTTGAATGGGGAACAGAAAATAATTTATAAACATAATATTCATAAATAAAACATTTTCCCTGTCGTGTTTAATATCTCAAAAGTTCTGCATCCACGGGCAGCCGTGGTACATTTGAATATCCGAGCCGGGTCAACCTTTCCGGTCCCAGTTTGTACTGTATCGCCCGGACATTGGGTAAATAAAGAAGACACTCAATAGGTTACTACCCATGAATAGGACTAGCCGGTGCAACAAGGTTGACGCGGTCAGACTTTAAGTTGAATTTACTTATACTAAAGGGTTAGGGGTGCGTGATGGATAAAGTCAAAAAAAAAAATTTTAAATATATTTTAATAAAAATCTAATTTCAGTAGTTTTATTATTGATAATGTAGCTATGCTAAAATAGAATCCCCCTCTGGTTTCTGATAAACTAATGACCAGAAAATGTAAATTTCTTATATTTTCCCATTTTCCTTATTCATTTATAAATTAAACATCGTGTTGGCAATGGTTAAAGAAAACAGAGAGAAACAGAAAGTTATAGAAATTCGAGAAAAATTCGTGTTTTCTTTATATTTCTATGTATTCTCGTTTTTAGATCCGGTCCGGTCGGTGCAAGTATTTTTTTCTCGAATGCTTAAAGACGCATGAAATAAATACATTGTTTAATGAATTAACAACCCATGGCACCTCCGATGTCATATAATTTTACGGTGTTACGTATCTTCCCAAAGGCATTTTCCCAAGGGCTACTTTCCAAGAGGCAATTTCCCAATTGTGCAATTTCCTAAAGGTTAGGTTTGGCCTTCTGAGGCGCCACAGGCTGCAATGGGGGACCGATCACTATGGCTAGAACAGGCCAGGGGGACCGAGCGCCGCGGCTAGGAAGGACCAGGGGGTCGAGCGCTGCGGCTAGGACAGACTTGGGAAGTTGCCGCTTGGGAAATTGCACAGTTGGGAAGTTTTCACTTGGGAAAATATCCTTGGGAAGTTTTGTAAAAGTACCTAACATCAAGTTGACATCTTAAATTGTTAAAGTTTATATTTCTAGAAAGTAAATATTGAAATTCCTTAAATATAAACCAACTGTATACAAAGTCATGTTTCTGTAGTTTTATGCAAAGGTCCGTCATCTTTTATCCGTTTAAAGGGTACCCTTGGTAATCGGGGATACACTGGGTAAGTGGAATATCACTTAAAACTACGCAAATAGTCCCTTTAAACTCCTCAAATTTAAAGTAAAAAGAAAGTTACTACCTAAGATATTATTTGAGTGAATATAGAATGTTCCCTTGAATAGAAGCAAGGAAATCTTATGATAAATGAATTCTGGTTGCAAAGCTGAAACCTCTTGAAATTAAATTAGAACTGAACAGGGCTCAGGTGGAGTACGGAGAAATTCAAATTAAATCAACCCTTTCTTTCTCAGGTTTATTAACAACAAAATATATCAGATTATTTCTTTTATTTATCCGTTTTAAGAACAAAAAAAAATTAAACTTTCATCGGAGAAACAATTCGGGATCTAAAGAACTCCTTGGTGAGACAAATCCCAGATAGTCTCTAGCTCGTCTGTGCTGTATAAATTCGTGATTTATCGACTGAACGCACAATTTCACATATCAAAACTAGAATCTATTAGTTTTGCAGATTTATAATTAATTCCTGCATTTCCTCTTTTCTGTGGGAGACGATATTGTGTCGTCACAATTTATCTCAATTATCAGTACAATAAATGATTAACTTTTTTAGTTAAATATATTAAGATTATAACAGCATGCGTACATAAAAAAGATTAATAATTAGTATTGTAAAAAACATATTTTTTGTTTAAGATTAGTGTTTGTTTAATCATGTCTAAGATTATTTTGCTGGTGAAACTTAGTAAAAGTATGCTTTTTAGGAACATTTTGTATAGAATTTACAGGAGGCCATTCGTGTTGAATAAATCGTCGTCTTGGTTTGGTTCCAGATTCTCCGGGTCCTCTAGGATCTCTAGGTTCTCTGGACCAGGGAGGAAGAGAGGATGCTCGGGATTGGGACGGAATATCGGAGCTGTTGGTTGGGAGAAGAGGAACTATTTTATAATCAGGTTGATACCAGGGAGGAGATACAGGAGATACAGAAGATCCAAGAGATACATATGAAGGTTTGAAAGTGTAAACTGGAGAAGGAGGGCGCGGGGGAGGTTGAGAAGTGGAATTGTGTTGATATGAAGAAGGATAAAATCCATTCTTTGGAACAGATTCAGATGAATTATACGTTCTTTTAGACGAATTACGTCCCGGAGATGGAACCATTTCCTGAGGTAAATTCATACCTTGAGAAATATTGTATCCTGGTTTGTGTCTGGGAGTCGGATAGGATTTGGGAATAGGACTAGATCCGTGGAATAATGTATCAGGTGAAGAAGATAGTTCGGGTTTATGAGATAAACTGAACTCATCGGTATTGTTGGCGCCAGGAAATGGATTAAACCAAGCTTTAGATAAAGGATGAGAGGAGGAGAACTGGATATTGGAAGGGACCGGAGAAGATTGAAACGGGATACGGGACAAAGGAGAAGACTGGAGATGGATACAAGAAGGTGGAGAAGAATTTAACTGGATACGGGACGCAGGAGACGGTTCAACCTGTATATTGGATGCGCGAAAAGATTGGGACTGGATACGGGAGGGGGGAGAAGGTTGGGATTGGATATGGGACGGAGGAGAAAATTGGGACTGAATATAGGACGGGGGAGAAGGTTGGGACTGGAAACGGGAAGGAGGAGAAGATTGGAACTGAGAATTAGACGGACATAGAGAGGAAGAGAGGTTTGGCACAGGTTGAGGAGAAGAAAATGTCGGAGCAGGAACAGTTTCGGTGTTTTTTGATGTGTCTGGAGTAGAGTTCTGGGTTTGCAAACATTGATTCCAGTATCTTAATGCAATTGGATTAGACGCCTTCCTAATAGCCTCTGGGTTTGGGGCAGGTGGTTTGTTTTCTCTGGGTTGAGCAGGTTTCTTGGAGTTCTGTCGGCTCACTTTCTCATAGTGTACAAAAGGGCTGGACTCCTAGATAAACGAAATAAAAATGTCCTTTTTAAGAACTTATTATATTGACCCCTATTTTAAAAAGAAACAATCTCTTTAAAGGGACTGTAGTCGTTATGTTAAGTGATCTGAGCTGAAAACTTTAGAATTGGATATCCTTAATCCCGTTCTGTTAATTAATCTAGAGATTAATAACAAGAGGAGAGCAAGCATTATTTAATCTGGAGATTAAGAAAAAGAGTGGATCAAACATTAATCCTGATATCCACCATTCAAAAGTTTCCAGCTCTGACCCTTTCTTGAAAAGTTCCATGCCCGATTCACAGCGTTACCTTTTGAAATGGGGTTATTAACGTTTTTTCTATATTGAAAAGTGTTTATTTTAATAATTCCGACATTGTTTTCTGGCAGCAGAAATGCAAAAGTCACTTTTGTAGAGAAACTTTAACTGAAAATATTCAGTTTGGAAAATGATAACATGTAATTAATACTTTATCAAACCAAGGTCTTAAAGGTATAGAATCGAAGAATTACCTAAGTATAGAATAAATAATATTATTGTATTTTTCCACTTACCCTGATATTCTGTCCCCCTAGTATCACCACAGTGCCTTGTCTCACTTACCCTGATATTCTGTCCCCCTAGTATCACCACAGTGCCTTGTCTCACTTGCTTGCTGAGAATAAGTTCCTCTTTCCTTTGAAGATTTAACAAGTTCTGATCTGCATTGCAACCCTTCTCCTGGTCCCTCCTCGGGTTGGGTTGGGAGGCTCCCAGTGCTCCTCCCCAGCTTAACATAGTTCTTTATCTCCGTCCAACTCCTGTCCCACAAGTTCTCAATATCCGTCCTACTCCTGTCCCACAAGTTCTCTATATCCTTCCTACTCCTGTCCCAGACTAAACAAGTTCACTGAGCTAGAAGCGGACCAAGAAAAACAATTAAACTGAGAAAGTTAAAGAAAAACAAAAAAACGTTAAAGGAGTAAAAATTGAATGTTAAAAAAATTTTAGTTTTAATGAAAAATCATTTTTTAGAAAATATTTATATTTTATTTTCTATGATTGTTAGAAAAATGGGCGTGGATTATCTTATTGACGTCATAAGTAAGTTTTCAGTTCATAACATTTTCTATTTTCTAACATTCCTTGCTTTCTACCCATCCCTTCCTGTACCTTGTTGTTGGGCTGGGTCCTGGGTCAAATATCTAGGCTAGAGTAGCTAGAGGGTCAAATTAACATTTTCATAATTCTTTAACCTGACACTGCTCACTATTCTGTTCTAGTCTTCGGGTTTTAACATTTAAACTTTTGAAGTTGCTCGTGGCTACTCTTAAAGGAACTATAGATGAAAAGTCAAGTAAACTTTAATAAAAAAAGTAAGATAATGAATTAAGGGGTGCTGTTGTGAATTGCAATATCTCACTCTTTAAAGGGAGTGTTCGCGAAAAATGAAAGGGGGTATAGGTTTAACGCGATAAAAAAGCGCTTTTGATCGCTACTAATCTTACTCCTATCTGTTGCGTATATAAGGAGAAAATTGTTAAAGACGTCTCATACCGAATAACATGGCGTCCATACAAATTGAGAAAATTGCAACATACGACTTAGATCGTAAAAAATCAATTTAATTTCAAACAAATCATTCAACCTATGGTCATCGATTATCTTTCGCCACATTTATATATAGTTGATTTATCATAATATGTTTTAATTGTCATGATCTGAGAGTTACTTATAAAAACATTTATTCCTGTTTCGAGGATTTTTGGTAATGAAGACGACATTTTCATCAAAAGCGCTTTTTTATCGCATTAAGCCTATACCCCCTTCCATTTTTCGCGAACACTCCCTTTAAGTAGAAGATCATTTAAGAAATATCCTTTAAAGGGACTGCAAAGGAAAAATAAAAGGGGATATAGGCTTAAACCTGATACGATACCTATAAGACATCTATTTGATGTTCATGTCTCGAGAAATTGACATAAAACTGTATCAAAATTATACCAAAACGTATATATGTAAGATATACGTCTGTACCACGTGGCCAGAACTCCCTCCAATGGCAGTTCAGTATACTGGTCACGTGATACTGCACTTCCATTGGTTGGAGTTCTGGTAACATGAATTATTATTAAATTCAAAAAATGAAAGGAGCAAACCTGAGTTTCTCAGGCTCCTCTGAGATGTTGTCATTTTTAGATTGGTTACGTATTTGCAGAATATGATCTGTTTAATACTACGAAACTTATACAAAATCTTACATATATACGTTTTGGTATAATTTTGACACAGTTATATATCAATTTCTCGAGACAGGAACATCAGATAGAACATTTATAAGTCTTAATCAACTCCTGGAGATTCTCAGGTTTCAGTCTATACTCCCTTTCATTTTTCCTTACAGTCCCTTTAGGTAAATTATGGCAAAAAATATATATATTCGTATTTATTCCGACTTTGATGGAAAACCATCCTCAACGGACCACAAAGAATATACAGGAACAGTTCGTGGAAAAAAAGGTTTTAATCAACATAAATATCAGATTAAAATAAAATATCTAAAACTTAACAATGATTTTTCTCAACACTTTATTTTATTTTTGTCCCCACTCCCTTTTAAAAAAAATATTTTTAAGAACGTTAAGAAAAGAATATTTAGTATTGCAAAATAAATAAAAAGTAAAATGAATGAGTATATGAAGGGAGAGATAAAGACATCCGTTGGTTTTCTATTTAAACTATTTCTTTTTATTTTCTCTAACTTTAGACATTTTCCCACCAAACAATTCACATTCAACACTCTAACATTTCCCTCTTCCCCTCCCATATTTCGCCACCTACCTTCTTCTTTCAACTTTGATAATGGTAAACCTTTGCTAAAACCTTGTGAGAAATGAATAGAATAAATCCTGATGTGTTCCATTCAGAGGGGAAAATGCATTTCTGAAAACATTCTTTGACATTTCTGCAAAGGTTTCCATTTTGACGATCCTGCCTGTCCAACATAATTTAAAAATGTTTTAAATACTTTCCAAAAAAATAAAACAAATTGTTATCATTACAAGAACTGATGTTGTAAGCTCTCACGCCAAAAACTATTCGAATTTTGAAAATTGCAACTCTTAAACGCTACCGCTGAAAACAAGAGTTTTAGAATTCTAAAGTATAAGTATAAGTGAGTTAGTAAAATCAAAGGGGGTTGCAACACCTTAAAGTTGATCCAGTCTTTGAAATTGATGAAACCTTTCCAATGGATCTCTGTAATCTGTCTGTCCTATCGTTTAGACATTTAGGGTTGGTTCAGATTTTTTTATAGCATAAATGGAAGTTTTTGTTTCAGAAGGACTGTTTTACCCATTTTTTGGGTCAGAGTAAATCAAGCAGAAAGATAATGCTACAAAATTTGAGGAATAAAATGGGAAATTTTTTTACACTTTTATCGCTAAGATAAATCTAAACATTAATCAAAGGGCGTATACAGAAATAAATTTAGGGAGGGGGGGGCAAAATATGCGCGAAGCGAAATTTTTTTTGTGCCACCCTCCACCCTACGAGCTTCTAGGGGGTGGGGGCAAAATTTGAACCATAAATTCAAAACATTTGGCTTCTCGGATACTTTAAAGGTACACATACACTATACAGTCAATTTAACATACAAGGACTACTAATATATCATCTCTCCATCAAACAAAACTTGCAGAAAAAAAACAGCAAATTTTAATTTTTAATACTCTTCACTCTTCCGTTTCAGATTTGAAAAGTTGTAATAGCTGTGAGTTCTAGGGGGGGGGGCTAGGCCCCCCCTTTTCAGGTCTAGGTGGGGGCACTGCCCCCTTGCCCCCCCTGTATACGTCCTTAAACCATTTCCCCCCTCAAATAACCTTTTCTAAAAATTAGTTCTGTCGTATTTAAAATTACCAATATATAGAGACAGATAGACTCAGACATACAGACGTAGGAATAGACAGATAGGCATACAGACGTAGGAATAGACAGATAGACATACAGACGTATAGACTGAATCTTCCAAGAAGACTGAGCTTAGTATAATGTACATTAGATTTCATGTTTAAAAATGTAAATTTTAGTTTCCCAGAGCTAGTAGAGGATTTGGGTTGGAGCCAACATTCTCTAAATCTTTCTGGTTCTGCAGAAATAAATGATTTTATTTTATTTTATTTTCAATCATGTTTTCTTTGGCAAGGGAATGTCAACTTGATTTTAATTGACTCAATATTAAAAAAAAGTTGATAAGAAAGTAGTATATGTACGGTTCACAAATGAATGAGATATCCATTGTCTTCTCTCTGATTATTGATTATTTTTAATTGTGGTTTCTCCATCTAAGTGACTAGCGGATTTTTGCTACCGAAACAACTAAGGAAGTTCTCAGAATACAACACTTTACAGGATGAGAAAACGAAAATATCACCCTTTTCTTCCCTTAATAAAAATAAAATCTTAAACCTTCAATTTATGAGAAAAATTCTCTTTTTCCAAATTTAAAATTTAAATTCTGAATTTCAGATGTTTTCAACCTTCTTATCTGATCTCTAGCTCGAGATTCCTGGAACCTTGAATTCAATCCTCAAACCTGAGAGATATTTAAAGGAGAAAATCCAATCCTCTCTTTATAGTTTTAATATAGAGTTTATAGAATAGAGAAAGAAGAGGAAAATTGAGGGAGGACGTATCAAAAGAAAGAAAGAAAAAATGCGGGAAAAAATAAATTTGTTATTTTAAAAGGTTTAAAGAAATTGTTTAACTTAATTGTAAGACACAATAAAAGATAATTAGAATAAAACAAAAGTTATAATTTTTTAAACTTAAAATTCTTTTTTTAAAAGTACGATGATGAATTTTGGGTTTAGAGAGCGGATAATTTGGGGAGAACGGTTCCTGCAGCCTCCTCACTTCTTCATCCTCCGCTCTCAGGGTATATGGGCAGTATACTAACCTCCACTCTAGTATTAAACCAGGACCTGGAGATCATCAAACTTAAGTATCAAGATTCACTTAATTAGTATTTTAATCACCATGGCAATTAAATTTAATAGATAATTAATATGGGATTTTTAAAAAAAATTATTAAAAAATTTGAAAATTTCAATTTTCAAAATTAATACTTTTCTTTATTTATCATACATTTAAAATAACAAATTAGTTTTGAATATAAATGTACTATACATGTTTGAATTATCTAAAATCTAGTTTTTGGATTTGAAAATGTTCGTTTTTGGCTATTTTAAAACCACCCTTTTTGTTTGTTTTGAATCAAAGTTTTTAAATCACATTTTAGACTTGTTTTTGAATCATGCGTTGACAAAATTCAAGAAATGTTTAGTTTTCAAACTTTTTTTGTACCAAGAAAATGTTGATTGATTTTGTCAATTTTCTGGAAAACAAATTGAACATCAAGTTTTTCATTTGCTCCTTTGTATTCTTCTTCTTTCAATGTGCTGAACAAAAATCTAAAGAATTTTTCTTAAAATCAAGTAGTTTTGCAATTTCTTCGGAAGTATTGAAATTATTATTGAAAAAAAAATATTTTTATTTTGACACTTGGGCATTTATACTGATAACTTTAAAGGAATAAATACAGTTTTTATACTGATAACTTTAAAGGAATAGATACAGTTTTTATACTGATAACTTTAAAGGAATAGATACAGTTTTTATACTGATAACTTTAAAGGAATAGATACAGTTTTTATACTGATAACTTTAAAGGAATAGATACCGTTTTTATACTGATGGAATAGATACAGTTTATATACTAATAACTTTAAAGGAATAGATACAGTTTTTATACTGATAACTTTAAAGGAATAGATACAGTTTTTATTCTGACAACTTTAAAGGAATATATACAGTTTTTATTATTATTATTATTATTTTAA